AATTTTGCATTGGAGGAAGAAAGCATTCATAGTTTACTTTCCTAACTTAGAATGAACACAAACTGTCCCCTGGAACTGCAACCCTCCCTCACCATCCCCCCTACACACACACACACAAACACACACACACATACACACACACACACACACACACAGAGAACACAAACGTGCTCACACATTTTCTTGAATTTGACCAATAGAGAGTTCTCTGAGTGCTGTAATTTGAGAGACCTTGGAATAATCCCTCCTTGTTTCTGGAATGATGCTCCCCCATCCCCATGACATATTCTAAATTCTCATTATATTGAGGTACAAGTTTGAAACTTGTCTTAAGATTCCTCCAAGTACTTCCTTTGTCTTTATACAGCCACGACCAATAGCAGATTGTGCTTCTGTTTTGGACTCAGAAACAGCACCATGTCCCAGAGCATGAGCTCTGATCTCTCACTTACCAAGGAGTCATACATTGGCAGAGTTAGAACCCAGGGAGGAGAATTTTGTCTAATGTGAAATTGGTGATGTAAGTAATTTGACAGAATTCCTGTTCACTTTTTCTTCCATCAACTACAATTTCAAGACAGATCTCATTTTTGCACACTTTATGAGCCCATGTGTTAGTGGACATATGTTCTGAACAAATTTCTGTATTTTCATAGTTCTCTTTGAAGCTCTGCCCCACAGATGGCTTTCTTTGTTTTTTTCCTTTTTAGAAATATTTCTTATAAAACAGAATTTGTTTCTCACATAGAACCTGCTAAACCTTTAATCTCTCTCAGACTTAGCTCTCTAGAATGAAATACTTCATTCTAGACTCCATGTGGAGCTAAACAGTATCCCTACTCATCTTTCACAAAAGCAAATAAATTGAGATAGGGGAATATGTAAGAACTATGCTTTGTTTGAGGTGTATGAGGGAGCTCATTAATAGGAGAGAAAAACACCAGCAATGAAACTAAGACTAAAGGCATTATCAAAAAAGGCAGAGAACACTAATGAATGTCAAATTTTATTTTATAATTTTTATCATTGTAAACCAAAAACTCATTATTATTAATTTTTTTCAGTTTCTTTTTTTTTTTTTTTTTGCCAGACCTGGCATTGCTCAGAGGTTACTCCTGATTCTGTATTCAGAAATCACTCCTGGTGTTAGTGATTGCACCTGGGCCAACTGCATGCAAGGCAAGTGTCTTACCACTGTATTATCTCTCCCCCAATAAGCCCATTATTAAGAATTATTTTCCTTAAATTTTTTCAACTCCATGCTAGTCATGTCCTTCTTTTAAACTTTAAAAGTTCTCTGTATAGAACGTGCATGAAATTAATATACTGTTTTCTTCTTGGCAGTGAAGATACAGTGGGAGAATTCCCTTCATGTTTACAGGTTTTACTTCCAGTGTTGCTTCAAATTAAAAAAAAAAAAAAACCAGCTTTAGTGTCAGAGAGAAAGTCTGGAGTTTAAGGCAATTCTCAGTATAAAGTCAGCTCCAGTTCAATCCCAGGCGCCAAATTGCCCCCCAAACATCATCAGGCATGATATTCTCAGCTTCTCAGATTGAACCACAACATTACTGAGGGTCCCTCTACTTCCAGGGAAAAAACCCTAAACCTTTTGCTTTATTCTTCAGAAATTTGAGATATGATTTATGATACTCTGAGTTGTCAGTGTCAGTTAAATGCTGACTTTCTTTGCTATTTTTGTATCACTGAATCACTTAACCATCCAACTGAATCATTAATCCCATCTGACATAAATACTATGCTCAGTCACTGACAGAACCCTTCTGAGAATACAAAGAACCAAAAGTAGAAGATGTCATGTTTCTATTAATTACTTGAGGCATATCTTCACATTTCTCTGAAAACACTGGGAAAAAGCAGCATGTTGAAAAACCAGCTTACAGTTCCAGCTCACTAAATATATACACATAAAAATACTAAATAAATATAGTATGCATATATATATGAGCATTTCTTTTGTGTTCTATTTTGAATATTTTACACACAAGTCAAATCCTGACCCACCAAAACACATTTTTCAAGATCCATCTATGTGGATAAGAATAAATTTTTTAACCAAAATAATTAAAATATTTTGGTTTCTTATAGCTATTATTTTATTGAATTGCATGGTTAATAATTCATAATTTTTTTTCTTCTTTCTCTAAGAGCACACCTGTAAATTTGTGTATTATCGGCCTAGTTTACAAGTGATCAACTGTAAAGCTCATTGATTGTGCAAGTTAATCTTAATCACAAAACTGGTCTATTTAATATCTGAATATTCATTATTTGAATCTAGCTCCATGTGATTTCAAACCTGTTATTTTTCTCATTGATCTGTACCACTTTTAATATATATTGAATTTTTACTCATACTCATAGATTGATGAAATTTTTTATGGTTTACAATTGGAATGCTACTGAAAAATTATGGTTTAGATCCTAAATTGAGATGATAACTTCAGAAATGAGTGGAATTAGCAGACAGAGATAGAAGTTGGGATTGCAAAGATGATCTAAATCATTAGAATATAGTGAATGGACATTTTGTGATAATGCTCTACTTCTCCTTAAAATATGAAAGGCAGTTGGCTCAACAAATGGAAAGTTGAGCTCAGAAATGAGGCACGTGCGGTGTACATCACTGTTTAAGTTGGTCACACTCAATCTTTTTAGAGTTGACGCAGCTGGTGTGTGACTTACCTCAGTGTTAGTCTGACTCTAAGACAGTGGTTCATGCTCCTTGTTAGGCTGCTCTTTGTTGAATGCTTTTATTGTTCACATTGACTTCATAGCCTGTGCCAGCTGACAGGAATAATGCTTTTCGTGTATTCTGTAATCTTTAATTCCGGAGTCTCTAAGTGTGTGAAAGTAACTGGAGATTTGACTCATTGCAGTAGTCAGAAAAACTCAGTGAATTTCTTTTTTGTGTTTAAAAACTAGCTCCAGAAACCGCTCAATTTTTAGTTTCTTAGCAAATGAGACCAATCTAACATTGTTTTGTCTTCCTCTTACTATAACACATCAGAGAAATTCTGTAGGACATGTGAGGTGGGGAGGTATTTTGAATAAGTGGTTGAATAAGAGAAGAAATGGTGAAATTATTGAATTCATTTTACAAATGTAGATCATGTGATTTGGTGGAAAGTGAAAATGATACAAAGCAGAATGGTAGAAAAAAGACACCTATGAACACACTGCTTTTCAAATAGGAGCTTTATTTCAGTATTAATAAAATACTGATATTATATGAGACAACCCCCCAAAACCCCGTATGATATGGGGTTGTATTCCAGAAATATGAATACATGGAGTCTGGGAACCCAAATCTATTTTGTCGGACCCTGAGAAATAGCATTATGTGTGGTCTGAATTTAGGGCATCATGACAAAGCTTGGAGGAATCTTGATGATGCCAGATAAGATATGGCTGAAGAAACCTCGATTCTTAACCTGAAGAAGAGGAATTATTTTAGGAAGACTTGATGGCTAGTGTCAAGTTTATGAAGATCTATCAGAAAAAAAGAAAGATTAGGTTTAATTTATGTGATTCCAGTGAGCAGAGTAAAATCAAAAATGTCAACTGCCTGTAAAACATAATGTAGCATTTTTGGAGTTTTTGAGACCAGTTCTTAATAATATTTTAAAATAATGAATGACTGTGATTCAAAGGGAAGATGGCGGGCTAAGGGATGCTATGGGCATTCAGTGAGTATGTCACGTTGCTAAGCATTTTATAATGCACAGCTTTTCAGAACTATTCTCCAGGCTGGGTTGTCAGTAATGCAAAAGTGGAGAAACCCGTTAGATGTTTCCACTCATTTTAATTCAGATCATGGATTTTCTAGAACTATGAAGTAAAAATGTAAGAAATACAAACTATCTATAAGCATTGGTTTCTAAAAATGTCGCATTTATTCAGAATAAAATTATATTCTCCAGAAGTATTATAGGGGCTGGAGCGATAGCACAATGGTAGGGCTTTTGCCTTGCACACGGCTGACCTTGGTTCGATTCCCATCATCCCATATGGTCCCCTGAGCACCACCAGGAGTAATTCCTAAGTGAAGAGCCAGGAGTGACCCCTGTGCATTGCCAGGTGTGATCCAAAAAGCAAAATAAATAAATAAATAAATAAATAAGTATTATATTATACCTTTCATTCTGTTGCCTGTATTGATAGTCTTTCCTGTGCTTTATTTCCCGATAAATTTTGCTTCTTCCAATCAATGACTTCTCATATTTAAAACAAAACTCCATTTTCCTGTACATCCTACTAATCTTATTCCTTCCTTTCAAAGTTTGATATCCTTGAAGAGTAATATGCAATGATTTGCACACATTTTATGTCATGAATATAATATTCTCAAGGAAGATATTATTGGTACTTTCTAAAATCCAGTGTTTATGCTTCTTTAATTTTCCAATAATTTAATTTTTACTGTTGATCAGTTTTTTCTTAAAACTTATTTCCTTTGGGTCATAGAAATAATACAGTAAGAAAGATTCTCATTCGGTTTGATCCCAGACACCTCATATGGTCTCCCAAGCTCCACCAAGAATGATCCCTGAGCACAGAGTTAAGAGTAAGCCCTGAGCACTTCAGGGTGTGACCCCAAAACAAAAAAGAATCTCAACTTAATGTGACTTCTCCTTCCCAGTTCCCCAAAGAATCTTCTTCTTCTATCCTTTTATTGTATCAATATTCTTCAGGATTCTGTCTCTATCTTGTTTCTCTTTTATCAGTATGCTTACTGAGAAATTCATTAGCATTCATAAAATGTCATTTTACTTTTCCTGAGTTCCAAATGTAGAACCTCTTATTATTTCCCTCCAGAATTCCAGACTTAAGATCCATCTATGATCTCCTAAGCAAGTCACAGTCATTTTGGATTCAGAGTGTCCATTTCTGTCTTTCTTATTCAGACAGCTATAACAAAATACCAGACTGGGTAACTACAACAAACATTTCTCTTAGTACCACAGGGTGGGAAGCCCAAGATGATGGCTCCAGCAGATTCCGTGTCTGGTGAAAATCCACATTCTTAGATGCTCATTCTCTTTAACACTGTGGAATGGATAAAAGAGTTTTGAGATGCCTCTTTCATAATATCTCTGCACACATTCAAAGAACCCACCTCCAAATACTATGATATTGGGCATAGATTCTATCTTAGAATTTGATCTCTAGCACTCCTAAGTCTGGTTGTCTTCTAGTATATGTTACATCCGTAATTGGCCTCACAGTATAGCTTGTCACCAGTCACAAACTCCAGTAACGAGCTCTGAAGTTATTCTAGGATACCCTTTTTTCTCAGTCCCCACCCTATACCATTAGTTGTTTTATATAGTTTACTTTGACATACATCTCTCATATTCTTTTTTCTTTATATCCAGAGCCACAAATTTAGTTAATTCGTGTCTGAATCACCTGTAGTGATAAAGAGTTGACCTTTCAAACTTAAGAAAGGTCTGTTACTTTTTATGTAACATTTCCAAAGTCCTTGTTTTTGTTGTAAAGCAGAAGATACAGCAACTAAATATCTTGAGTCATGTGTTTCATACCTGTTCTCTGTTACTACCTGGGACATCTGCCGTCCAAGAAACTAGATAATCTATAGCATTCCTTCTGTGCCTTTTTGTAACTTGTCCCTTTTATTCAGAAACCCTGTTTAACTTTAACTTTATCTTTATTAAAAAAGCACTTTTATTTTAATAAATATGTATGTATATATTTTTAAAAGTCAAATAGTACTAAGAAGCTTATAGCAACAAAACTTATTTGCAGTCCTTCCCATATTTCTATCTCTCAAGAACAATTTTATCTCTCTTAGGTGTTTATTTCTGCATTCATCTTTATGTTGCTAAGCAATTTATTTGTAATGTTATTTCTTTCCATGTCAAATTTAGTTGACTAAACTAAACCTATTTGGTTTCTGTTTTTAGTCGGGAATTATTACCAGGAGGTAATTCTCAAAATATTTAAGATGTGATGCAATGCAAATCAGTGAAGACTTTCAGTTTCTTTGCGCTCTGTATGTAGGCAAATTACAGTTCCTTATTTGAAATGAACTTTTGCTAAATTATTGACATTTATATTTTATAGTCATGTAAATATACACCACTACTGAAATAATATACCATGATTGTTTTATCTTGCTTATGATCATATTCTCGAGTTTTTGACATTTAAATTTTTAAAATTTCTTATTGAAAATATATCATAAGCTTCTTTTTCTGTAACAAGCCCTTGCTTTTAGTCAGAATCTCCATTCTGTGTTGTGCTTGCTACACATATTTTAAAGATTTTTGTGTCTAACTTCCTATCATAACTCCTTGAAGTCAGTAATAGCTAATATCTTTAAATCTTCAGTAACTTGCACCAGTGCCAATCACACAGTGCCTAACAAATATTGAATTATAGATAGACCAGGAACATATTTTCTCTTTGAAATAGCCGTTAGTGTTTAGCCAATGATTTCTGAGTCTCCCTGATTTCCTTTTTTTTTTTTTTCATTGTGGGCCACACCCGTCTATGGTCAGGGCTCACGCCTGGCTCTGCACTCGGATCACTGCTGGCAGGCTCGGAGAACCATATGGGATGTCGGGGTCCGGTTGAACCCAGGTCTGGTGTATGCAAGGCAAATGCCCTAACCACTGTATTATCCCTCTGGGCCCCTTTCTCTCATTTTTTAGTTGCTTCAGTTGTGGGACCCAATAAAGTAGATTAGTGCAAACTCTCACGGGATTGTGGCACTTTAAGGGTCACCTACTGCACAGCTACACACAGTTGTTTCAATGAAGGGATTTAGATGATGTTGCCAGAGTTTCTATCTTTTAAGTGGAAGCAAGAAAATCTAGTTTAAACGTGTCAATCTTGATTCAAATTTTAAAACTATGCTGATGAAGGAAGTGCTTTTTCTGGGCGAGTGTTATTCATGGCCACCAGCTCACAGCTTGAAATTTGTTGAGTGGGAACAGGAGGTGGAACACTGCCCTTGGCTTACCCTGTTCTTGGTATTTGCTTGCCTTGACGAGGTCTCCTTACAAGGCTTCCTCCGAGCTGTACTTCCAAAGGTCTTCCCAGAGGTCTGGTTTCAACAACTGATGGCACACGTGGAATGTCTAAGCAGAAGAGAGCCCAGATCGAGGCCCCAGCCTACCAGAATATTTAGTCTGAGCGGTGTTTCAATGGAACCAGGGTTGCTCTATATTTGAAAGTAGATGATAACATGCTAAACTGAAAGTGATAATGGAAAGGGGTTTGACTAGATCAAAGTTACTACAGGGCAAACAAGGTGACTTTTTATTGTTACATAAGATAAATTTTTGTTACTACCATTTCTGTTTGCAGATTCTGAATTTTGATAAGATTTATATCTTGGTTTTTTATTTTTCATTTTCGTGTTATAACAAATTAGCTTTAGAATTCAGTCCTGATTCTTCCCATGATGAAAGTTCATATATGGGATTTTAGAACTAAATTAGACTTGTTTATAATAATAAATTGATTGCAATTGGACACTGAAAATTGGTATTGGAGTTTTTTTAATTTGATTTTTTTATATTTTTTTTTACTGTTGTTGCTTATTTTATAAACTGACGTTCATTCTTCAACATTAGTTGAATATCCATGAATCTGTGTTATAGACTGGTCTTGCAATACACAATTCCTGTGCTTGAGAAGTTCTAATGGATTGCTTTCTTCTGGTTTATTCTAAAAATTAAAAGAGGAGACTAAGAATAGGGTGGAATGTAAAAAACATTCTAGAAACTTGGTGGCATTTTTTTTTGTTTTAAAAATTATCACTTTGTTTTGTTTACAGCAAATTTCTGCAGCAAATTTCTTTCAAGTTGAAAATAAGAGAGGGAAGCTAAGGAAAAAAAAAATTTTAAACCAAAACTCGTAGTGAGCGACTGTAGTTACACACCTTTGTGGTCATCTCTATCAGCATGGATATTTTGTTACATCTATCACATTGACGTGTAAGCAATTGCACATATAAATCATATTCTAAGGACTATTCTGGGGCCTACTTCTCTAAGGAACTCACTGATATATTCTATTTATGTTGAAAATCTCATTGAAGGGAAGGCATTGATTCACACCCGACTGTGCTCAGGATTCATTCCTGGTGGTGCTTGGGGGACCCTTTGCCTTTGCAGTGACAGAGATCAACCTTGGACTGAGCCTGTGCCAGGCCTTTCCCTGCTGTCATAAAAAATAAAGTTATTTTTATGACTAAATAGTATTTCTAATCAATTCTCTATTGTTATGTAGATGATCTCTATTGGTATTTAGATTACTTCTTGTTTCTGGATCAATAGCACAGCTGTAGGGCGGTAGGGCGTTTGCTTAGAGTGCAGCAGCCCTGCAGAGCCCGGTTCGATTCCTCTGCCCCTCTAGGAGAGCCCAGCAAGCTACTGAGAGTATCTCACCCACACAGCAAAGCCTGGCAAGCTACCTGTGACGTATTCGATATACCAAACACAGTAGCAACAAGTCTCACAATGGAGACGTTACTGGGCCCGCTCCAGCTAATTGATGAATAACGGGAGGACAGTGCTACAGTGCTATAGTGCTAATTTCTGTTATAAAATAAGACTACTTCATTTAGAGGTTTGTTATCTAAAAAAATCACTAGAAGTGTTCTAGATTTAATTACTTGCATATTAAAAAAATTTTGCTTTTATCACAAAGTGCTAAAGAATCCTTCTAATTGTGATAATGGTGGATTTGTGTTTCTTCTCTCTTCACCTTTTCCAGTGGCAGTAACTATTTTTTTCCCCTCCAAAATAATTCGTTACAATTTGATAGGCAGAGGATGGTCACTCTTTCCATAGACAGTTTTCTTTTTTAAACAGTGCTCAAGGGCTACCCCTGACTCTGTGCTCAAGGTTTACTCCTGGCTGTGCTCCAAGGACCAGGTGGCTTGCCAGAGACAGCCTGAGTCAGCTTCATTCAAGGCAAGTGCCTTAACCTCAGTCCAATCTGTCCAGTCAGGAAATTGGTTTATACCCTCTGAATTTTCTAGGTTCTGTTTTTCTGTGACACTTGCTGTTACTTTGGATTGTGGATGACTGGTTGACTTACTAACTAATGCAAAAGTAACCAGTCAACTCTCAAATGTAACCATTGTATCCACCTCTCTGTTCTTGGATGCAAATGAATGTTTGTGCAACTGAAGTGAATTGGAGGAGACAATTTAGAAACCCCAGGCTAGATGTATAAAGGTCAGTGTACCGGTGGGAAGATGGTCTATACTTGCAAATGCATCATCCTGGGGATTTTGTTGTTGAGCATTGATTTTGCATCAAAACTTTGTTACATGCTTTGCATGATAACCTGGTTAAATCCTCATAACTTCCTGAAAATAGATTAAAATTATTTCCACTTTGCTAAAGAGGAATGAAATCTTTATGAAATTTCCCCATGGTACTGGGCTGTAAAATATTCAAAACAGTCACGGGCACATACAGAGCCAGCTAATCTCTAATTATTTTATCAGTTCTCCTCTGCCGTTTCTACCCAATGTCCAACTACTTACTATAAACACTGTCAAATATAAATAAAATAGAACAGCATATTGAAACCTGGAGCACGGTAGGGCATTTGCTTTGCGTGCACCCAGCCCGGCCGAGTCAGGTTCGATTCCTCCGCCCCTCTCGGAAAGTCCGGCAAGCTACAGAGAGTATCTTGCCCGCATGGCAAAGCCTGGCAAGCTCCCTGTGACGTATTCGATATGCCAAACACAGTAACAACAAGTCTCAAAAAAAGAAATGGAGATGTTACTGGGCCCGCTTGAGCAAATTGATGATCAACGGGAGGACAGTATTGAAACCTGGTATACCAACCACATCAGCTTCCACAGCTTTTCATTTCTACCTTTCCTTCTCCACCTTGTAATTCTCTTCCTTCATTGGATTGTTTTTCAGCAAATGTCTGATACATAAATTTTATTAGTTATCATTTAAATCTATCTATGTAAGAGATATGGTATCTGTTTTTAAAACTAAACTACAAGTCATTACCACACCATAAAACAACTAGGACAACTCCTTAATATTATCTAACTCCCAGTCAAAGTCAAATAGCCCTAGTTATATCACCAGTGATTGTATATCTATATGTATATATAATGTGGTAAATATATATGTTTATATATGTTTATTTTATCAGTTCTCCTCTGCCGTTTCTACCCATATATACATATATATGTATACATATATATATGTGTATATATATGTTTAAGTATGTATAAATATATATGTTTAATTTTATTTTTATAAAGTTGTTCACAAAAGTTCATTACAGATAATATTCAAACACCAATCCCACCTCCGTGCACCTGACTACCACCATAAGAGGAAAGTGTGTGAAGATTGTTGTATTTCATCCTGGAGCCATTTAAGCCTTTGTATAACTGTCCGTCATCAAACACCGTCTTCCCATCGTTCATCGATTTGCTCGAGTGGGCCCAGAAACGTCTCCATCATGAGATTTGTTGTTACTGTGTTTATCATATTGAATACAGGATGGGTAGCTTGCCAGGCTTTGCCATGTGGGCGAGATACTCTCGGTAGCTTGCTGGGCTCTTCGAGAAGGGCAGAAGAATCGAACCTGTCTCGGCCAGGCTGGCCGCACACAAGGCAAATGCCCTACTGCTGTGCTATCGCTCCAGCCCTAAGCCCTTGTATAAGAGATTACAAACATGTATGTTAAACCCAAACAAATGTGTGCTAATTTTAGTATATCAGTGGGCTAGAGTATATGAGGTTCTGTGTCGCTCTCTTCAGGGAGCTTTATTTCATAGTCTCTGAATCTTGGTTGTTAATGAGATTATATGATGCCGGGAGCATTTTGTGGGTGTGACTGCCATGCTACTGGAAAACTGGGGATCTGGGGGAAGGCGGCCCTGTCCCTTTCCAAGCGAGCTTAGAGATCTCAGTCACGGGTTCCACATACCTGGGTTTTTCTGCATTTCCCTCATAGGTGAGGCTCATTTGAGCCTGTGGAGAGTGACCTTGAGCATGGTTGTGGTTGGGTTCTGGAGGTTTTTGGCTGGTGGTGTTCTGTGCAGGGAGGGAAACTCAACCCACTCCCCTCCGCGTTGCCCCAGGGAAGACAGCCTGGAGCAGGGTCAGGATATTCTGTCACCATTTATTATATAAAGTTGGTTTGTTGAATCAGAATTCAGGCAAGCACCATGTATTGTACCCCAAACAGTTCCAACCCCAACACACCTCCATACCTCCATGCCTAAGTCCACTCAATATTTATTTATTTTTAGTGCCATACTCAACCCAGAGCTTCACACATGCAAGGCAAGTACAGTTAACTCTGAGTTATATGTCTGACCCTGAGTAGTCAATTTTCAGAAACAATGAATCAGCCTTATGTAATGATAATCCACAAAAAAAAAATGATAAAGTTTTTCATCTTTTCTCACTGGAAGCTAATCATTACAACCATCAAGAGGATGAAATGTTGTCTATTTTCTGCTTATATGGTACAGCTCCTTCCCAAGCCAGGGGCAAATCCCTTCATTTAAGATGTATACTTAGAAATAAATGATATTAAACTGAAAACTCTGTGTTTAGTTCTAGGCTTAAATAAAAGAAGATCAACAGAGTCTTGTACTGCCCCCTTGCTTTTGGAGAATGATTTGGAAATCATAGAATCCATGTGCATGTTATTTTCATAAACAGGTCACAATATTGGACAGGTATTTAAATTGAGCAAATATTGATATTTTCATATTTATTTCACTTGTTTTGAACTTGAAGGTCTCTTGATCCTCCGCTGTGTTGTGGCAGATGGAAATTCCACCAGAAGTCCTGATAGCACTGTCCTTCTCTGTGGAGATCCTGGCGAAAACTGCACAGGTAATGCTTAACAAGTGATGTGTTTATGTTTTATTGGCCTCATATTCAATCTCAGAGCATTGATTTTGATAATGTAGTCATAAAACTTGACAGCATTTTGAGCACATAGCATGCACAAGAGCGTCATATAGTAAGTAATTTATCCATTTCTCACTAGAACCTTATGAATTGAATATTTGGTATTTTTTACTTTTTTTCACTTTGGAAACCAAAGAGATTACATAATTGATGAAGATGAGCAGCTAGTAAAGATAAACCCTGGAATTCAGATTTAAATTTTTTAGATTCTAAAGTTTCCATCACCATTACTGTATCATTTTGGATGTTGTGCCTATCTATGTTCTTCAGACTCCAGTATGTGATATTTGAGTCTATATTTATTAAAACTTGGCATATTCTATTCGGATTTAAAGTATTGTTAAATTATAGTTCAAAGAATTTTAGAATAGCAAAGACTATTTAAAATAACAAAGACGTCACTGTGGAGATGCTTGAATTAATATTTTCAGAATTATTAGCATGGGGTAGAGTCAGTCTTAGTAAATTTACTAATTTACTTAGTAAATTTATTTTACTTTAGTCTGTAAATTATTGATCTCGTACATAGGTGTTCAGGAACAGAGATTTCTAGCATGCATAGAGAACAAGGTAACCGGCTCTGCCACTCCCCAGCCCATGCCATTAAGTAATTCTTCAGATACCAGCTGGATGTCCTATAGTTGAATCCAGTTATGACACTGTCTATCTGGAAATAGATTTAGATTCAAAAGACTAAGGATCCCCAACAAAGTTCTCCCATTCCCTGCTTCCGGTGCCCATTGTTATCCTAGGTTGAAACTTGTGCCTCTGATCAGCTGCTTATATGTGATTCAGGAGTTCCAAGGACACACTCCTCATGTTAATTTAGTTTGTTGTAGCTCTTCCCAGAACTGAGAAAAATATTTGACTTGTAACCTATTTATTATAAAGGACATAATCAGGAAATGGACAGGTGGAAGAGATGCATAAAGGAGACAGAACTTCCATAGTCCCTCTCAGTGTCCTTTCAATTCAATTTCTCCATGTTAACCAACCCAGAAATACTGTGAACCCTGTACTTTTGAATTTTCATGGATACATACATATTGATTATTAGCAGTTGATTTAATATCTTTACCCTCTTGTCTCCCAAGGGCTCTGGGGAAGGACTAAACCTTCCAAACCTCTAATGATGTGTTGGGTGCTCTTGAATACTCACTCCACATTTTTAGGTCATCACATTAATGTGTCAAGACCCATTTTTGAAAAATAATAGCACTTAATCTTTATTTAATTTATTTATCTTTGGAATTTGGGGCCACATTTGCCTGTGTTCAGAGCTTCCTTTCTGCTCTTCTCTCAGACATCACTCTGGCAGAACTCAGGGGACCATATGGGTGCTGGAGATTGAAGGCAGGTCAGTCACATGCAAGGCAAGTTCCCTATCTGCTGTGCTATCTGCTACCCCGCCCCCCCACGAAAAATCCATACTTTCCTCCTCTCTTGTCATTTAGGAAATTCCAAAGTATTTAGGAGCTTTGTTCCATGTACAGGAACAAAGCCCAAATATTTATTTCTTGTCATAAATGACAATATCACACATTAGATGTGTTTCCACAAAACATTGTTTCAAGGAACAGACTGTGGGTAACATCTGTCCCTTTGCAACATTTGTCCCTTTGTCTCATAGTTTGCTGGCATCTGGTCTAAGTGCCTGTCTTTCAATTATGAATAATAGAATCTGGTTTTCTAAAGGGGTTGCTTCTGATTTTAAAGAAAAAAATATGTGCCAATTTTCAGAAGGAGGATGAAGAGAAGAGCCTCCCTCACGTACTCCCTGAAAACTTCTCTAATAAGGGAGTGCAGAGACCTGGTGTTAACTGTTCCTGGAATTTTTTTCCTCTCTGGAAATTGTAGCTGGGCTAGTAACATGCTACACAGGTGGCCCTGATTCATCACTTTCAGCCCAATTCCTCTTTATTTCCTCATTCTAGTGGGTGGGCTGGAGTGTCCCTAGAAGCCTGTAGAATTTGTTGGTGACTTAAGTCATCCTAGTATGAGTCGATCTAGGGAAAAGAAAAATATCAAGTATATGTGTTTGTGTGCTTTTTTCCAATTTGATTTCAAGAATTACAAAGGATAGAAATTTTCACATTGCCCTTGGGAGACCTTTTATAGTCTGACAATTGACAACATTAAAATCTTCCTCATTACTTTTTTAAAAAATTTTTATTAGTGAAACACCATGAGGTACAGTTGTAGACTTAAAAATAAATAAATAAATAAATAAATAAATAAATAAAATCTTCCTCATTTCTCCCATAAATATACATTCTGATGTTTTTTAAGGTAAGAACATGAGATCCACTGTTTGAGTTTTTAAGTATACAAAAGTTTTAAAGTATGCACGATTTTAGAGTTATTAACTATGGACTTAATGTGCATCAAATTTCTAGACATTAAAAGGCCCTCCCGTTGATCGTCGATTTGCTCGAGCGGGCCCAGTAACGTCTCCATTGGAGACTTTGTTGTTACTGTGTCTGGCATATCGAATACTCTAGACATTATTCATCTATAATTTTATAGCCATTGAACAATACATGCCTTATTTCCGACCCCAGCCCCTTGCTCCTGGAATCCTACGTTCTATTCACTTTTTGTGTGGATAGGCTATTGTCATACCTTAGTTAAGAGTTGTCAGAAAGTATTTGTCCTTCTGTAATTGCCACTTAACTTAGTACAATGGTCACCAGTCTCATCTACATTGTAGCATTTTTACAATATTTTCTCACCTTTGAAACAGAATAATGTTTTATTGAACATATATAAAACACAATCTTCTTTCCTCTCTCACCCTTATTCATCTCTTTGATGGCTATCTAAGCTATTTCCAAGTCTTGGCAATTGTGACTAATGATGCATTGAATGTTATGTAATGATCCCTTTGAAATATTGCTTTTAATTCTTTTGGATAAATATCTTGAAGTGGCATGATATTGTCTTAATTTTTTTTGAGAAATCTACATACTGTTTTCCGTAACAGCAACACCATTTTACATTTCTGTTCAAGAGTCCTAGTTCTTCTACAAGCTCATGGAAACTTTTGTTTCTTTTATTTTTGAGGTATTTTTTAATAATGAAACATGTCTCACTGTGCTTCGGATTTTCATTTCTTATTAGTGATTTTGAACATCTTTCCATGTATTTTTTTGTTGTTGTTGCACATACTTTTGCTACTACATCGAAATAATAATCATAAAGAATATCTAATTTTCTAGATATTCAGGTCTTATTTTAAAATCCATTTTGAATTGGTATTGAAGTAATTGGTATAGAAAAGGGATACAATGTCATTCTCTTGAGGACTTGGATTTTCACAGCACCATTTGTTGAAGAGTGCCCTTTCTCCATTGTGTATTCTTAGTACCCTAGGGTGAACATATATGTGTGGGTTTATTTCTGGCATCTTCCGTTTTTTTTCTTTGATCCTTTACTCCAGTATCATACAGCTTTAACTACTGTAGCCTTTGATATATATATATATATATATATATATACACACATATGTATATATATATATATGTGGTATATGTCAGGGTATGGATATATGTAGTTTTTATTCTTTTTTTTGGGGGGGGAGGTCGCGTCCGAAGTTTACTCCTGACTCTGTAATCAGGGATCAGTCCTGGTGATAGTCAGGTGGCCATAGAGGGTTCCAGGGATTGGACTTGGTCAGCCACATACATCATACTTGATCATACTATCTCTCCTACCAATGCAATACAATCTGAAATTAGGAGGTATGTTTTTTCCTGCTATACCTTTTTTTATTCTTCTCTTTTTACAGTACTTTGTGGTTCTGATATAAATTTTAGAATTTTTTCTTTCTGTCAAAATTTTTATAGATCTGGCACTGGAACATGTAAAAAACACTGAGCAACACAGAAATAATCCAAGAATGAAGGGACAGGGTTGTGAGCCAGCACTACTGTTATTTGAAAAATTGATTATGATAGGATGGATCTGGTCCATGAACCATAATTTGCTGACTTCTGCTCATGATTCCTCTTTCTTCTTTTATTATGGTAGATGATAATTTATATGATAAGTTTATATTTTAAATGTCCCCTTACACACATGCATGCATATGTACTTCAGTACATTATATAACATGTCAACATTAAGTAAGGTAAAGGTAAAGGCCCTCCCGTTGATCGTCGATTTGCTCGAGCGGGCCCAGTAACATCTCCATTGGAGACTTTGTTGTTACTGTATTTGGCATATCAAATACTCTCGGTAGCTTGCCGGGCTCTCCGAGAGGGGCGGAGGAATCGAACTCGGGTCGGCCATGTTGGCCGCTTGTAAGGCTGACGCCCTACCCGCTGTGCTATAATTTAAGAAAAATTAAATATTTAAATAGAAAATTGTCTGTTTTGTCCTAAATAATTATATTTGAAAAAGGTCCAGTGCTAGCATGTCTTTTTGTCCTAAAATTAATGTATTCGGTTTAATTTACCTTACTTTTATCAAAAAAATCCTAAATTTTTAAAAACTCAGAGAAATTTTCATAGAAATTACTTTGGTATGACGTTTCACTTTATTTTCTCTCACACTTTTTATTCTCCTTCCATTCTTTGCTGTCTCATTTTAGTATATTTTTAGGCATTGGAAACATAGCATCATCATCTTTTAATCAAAATTAGCAATACCATAATCTAAAATCTATACTGTAAATAAATATTCTTATTCATAATAATGTTTTGCATATAATAATTGATCTGAAACTTAGAGTGCTTTCATTATCCTTTTTGTTGAGATGGAAACTGTGTATAGGGAAGTTTAGTAATTTGTTTAAGGTTGCATAGTCATAAGTAAAACCTGTCCTGAATCCAGAGAGACTGGTTTGTTGTGTGTTGTTAATCACCATGCTAAAATCTTCAGGTAGTGTGGGAAAATCAGAATGCTGACTACATGGGGCTAAA